AATCAATCAACCTATAAATTGAGAGGTCGCTGTTTCTTCTTTTTCTTTCTTTCTTTCACAATTGACCACAAAACATCGATTGAAAACAATAAAATTCAGTTAATTTCATAAGGGGTCTCGGAAATTTAGTGCATCAAAGATCGATAAACTTCTGTTATTAATTTACTTACAATATTAAAAACAAAGTAATACAGTATACATGTTTCATAATAACTTTCATTTAATAATTTGAAAATTTTTTTTAATAAAGGGGGAGACAGAGTTTCAAATTAACGGGAAATGCAAATTTTATTCACGGTGCGTAATCATTTATTCTCGGCTGTCAAGATTTCTTCCATCGCGATTTCAGAGGTCCATTCATCCGTGCTCGAATTCTCATCGACAAATACCCCCCCGCGTTTGCTTAATTACGGATGTAGGAGAACAGTCCTCCCCTTGTTTTATCACGTTTGAGGTCGCACATCAAACGAAAAAAGGATTCTTTTCAAGCTTATCAAGAAATTTTCGCAAACAAGAAAAGGAAATAATCGGCCCATGATAAGGATCGGAACTTCTGCTCGAAAATCGCATAACCTGAGGATCAGGTCGTCGTTCATTTTATTCATTTTAGTTTTTGCCTATCCTTATTATAAAACATGGGGCAGCGCATGCACGAGCAACAACAATTGACAGGACGGGAGAATATCACTGCAAGAAAGAAAGCACACCTTATATAGTATGGTGCCATTTTTGTCTCTAAAGCTGATTTTCGAAAGTTGCAAAACACGGATAGACAAGCGCATTTAATTCACGTGAATTCGTATCTGACCGCCGTAAGGTGAAAGGCGATCGATAATTGAAACAGATAATCCCCACGCGGCGATCATTTAACGTGGACGCCATCCAATTCAAAAGTATTAGGGACAAGGCGATGGTCTCGAGGTTCAAACGGTGCGCACCATCTGGTTCTTACCAATCTCATGTCCAACTTGGGAACGATTCAGATGCTTAATATGATTAGAGAATGATAACGCGCATCCGAATCCTTCCGGTTTCATCTGATCAATCGTCCGATCGCTTCACATTTTTAACGAATTGACCGTTCGATACTTCATGCATACGTGATTTAAGGAAAAAACCCCCCCCAAAAAGGAAAGAAAGTCGGATGGTAAAAAGCATAAAATTTTTGCTTGGTCTAGGGCGGTGATATGGAATCCTAAAGCACAGATCCTCTCTATTTTTTTTTTTTTTTTTTTTTTTTTTGTCCTAAAATGATGGCATTCCGATAGGTGGATATTGTGTTGACACAAATAAAGAAAGACTTTCAAGTGATCTGCTTTAATTAATCCATGCACAGTGCATATTCATGTTGTCTTTGTTTGGTTCTTCATCAACGTTACTTGCAATCGCTCCTCCATGACAGTGTCGACGAACTATTCGTTATACAAACCCTTCGATCTGAAATACTCGAGAGCCATTCTACTGACCGCTTCTTTCGCATCCTTCTTGTTCCTGTACGCCGGTCCGGAGAATCTCTGGCCGAAGATCTGAAGATCGAAAGAAAATCCATTCCCCACTCCAATCCTACACGTATATTCGGGTAGGCAAACGTGCTGCTTGGAACACCACTCATACAACAGACTTGTGGCTTTCAGGGCGTTCAGTATGGAAGGAGCGGTGTCGATGTACGGATGAAAGCGAATTCGGTCTCGTGAAGTGTGCGGCGAAGATGATTCGTGAGCTTGCCCGCGATCGTGATCCCAGATCAACTCAGCATCTGACACACGTGATTCTGGATTACTGGAAGATCGCGGAGCAACCGATCGAGGGGCGGACGTTTCATGGGAAATCCGAGGATTTGGCAGTGAATCACCGTCAGTCAAATTTGATGGTGGCGATGCGCACCCGTCGGCACCGGATTCGAACTCCTCGAACCAATATCGCATATCACCTAACACGAGGGGATACTCAACCGCAAGGTCGCGAACAGCCATGAGAGAGACCTCATGCTTCGCCTCTCTTTTGTTCGAGTGTAACGATGAGTCCCAAGCACGATCACCGAACATCAGGCGGCATCTAAATTTCAGGGTCTCGTGATCTTGAGCAAAGGCGAAACTGCTTGGATGTTTGCGCCTTAATTTGTCGTGAAAGATGTATAGAACGCTCGTCGGTGTGAACTTTGTCCAAAGTTCACTGTCGTTGGATAGGAATGATTCATTCGTGATCGTCTGTCGCGTGTATCCTGTCAGTGGAAATCAACTGATCAGTCATTCGTTAAGATGACATGTGTTTTGACGTGGATGTGACAATTTACTTTGGAGAGGTGTTTCCTCTGAAATGGTTTCATTCACAAGTGGTATGAAATCCGCGGTTTCAACTTCGTTCGCCTGATGGTTGTTGGATTTCTGATATTCCGAATTATCTCGAACGTTCGCGCACCCGTTCGCGTTCTCCGACGCGTCGTCAATTGTTTCCGGATCTCGCGCGTCACGATGAGCATCGAGAATTTCGAGAGCTTTGATGACTCCGCTTTGTGGCATGGAACACGTATAAATAAATAGTTTCTAAACTTGCATTTTATATTTATCCCTTTTTTTGCAATAACCAAAAAGTCGATCGTCATCATTTTTTGTGACCGGTCGGTCACTCACGTGAATGCGGAAAGGAAAAAAAAAAAAAGTGTGATGACTTTTATGATTACGATTGTTATTTTGTGCTGTCACCGCATAACAACGGTAGTGTAAGTGAATTCCGATGTTTCTTATACCTCATTATTTACCGTGGCTGTGCGCGCACCACGAAAACAAAGGAATTAAGAAAGAAAAGAACGAGGTCGATGAAGGTGGCGCAGATTACCCGAAACGATTTGGATGCACATGGTGAACGCTGACGCTTACATCCCACCTCAATGAAATTTACATATTCGGCGTAAAGCAAATTGCCCTGACATTCTTGCGACCAAGTAATTGACAACTCATGATTAGGGATTAGGGGATTGGGTTCTTCTTGTAAGGCACGCTTTTCATCGAGGATCTTGCTCGTTTGCAGAAGTCACATTAGGATCCCAAATCGGAAGTGAAAATAGAATCCTGGAATCAAGATCCTTTTAGTAAGCTCGATGCGATGTCACATTTCTAATTACGCAACGGTTCCGAAAAGATGAAGTGGTGGCGTGTCGATTTACCAAAAAAGAAAGTCAGTCAAATTATTATTTGTTCGTAAACAAGGATATCTTTTGCATCTACAATCGGTTTTCCTTCATAGGCCTCTCTGCTCTACATGCCGTGTTTCAGAATCTCTCGGGGATCACACGTTTCGTGTATAATTTTTTTTTTTTTTTTTTTTTTTTTTTTTTTTTTTTTTTTTTTTTTTTTTTTTTTTTTTTTTTTTTTTTTTTTTTTTGCATAATCATGTTATCTTCCATGATCTTGAAACAAACCGTTCAGCGTTCTTGATGCACCACAATCCTTTTACTTCCTTCCGAGTTTAATGTGGGTGCTCGTGGAGGGGATATTCCGTGCGTACCGGTACGTCGCCGTGACAATTCTTCCACACAGGAAAAATATGATCCGAGAGACCGCCGCCATATCCAAGCAATGCGGTTTTCAGTTTAATTTCCATTTCCTTGTGCGCATTCGGTGTACCACATTTTAGCATATCAAGAGATCGAGACTAGCGATATATAGCAACCCCAAACAATAAAATAAGAATTATCATGCGCAAGCAAAAATCCACAATACGGATATGGAAACCGAGGGATTGACCTATGGACGGCGCATATGGTGAATTCTTGGGATCTCTCGCACGCACAAAGGAACTTGCTTGCTCCTCTCCAAGATCGGAGGTGGAATATGTCACCCCCCGACTTTAGGATACGGAGTCGCGAACTCAGAATTTTTTTTATTTTTTTATTTTTTTTCATTGAGCGTTACGAGGGACGTCGTCATTTCCTTCTTTTTTTCTTTTTTCCTATTATGAACAAGACAATAAATTCAATTGTTAAAAAAAAAAAAAAAAAAGAAAACGAAAAAAAAATCGTCCGTGTAACCCCTCGGATTTACACAGATGCGTATTTCCGCATGTTATTTGTTACCTTTACATATTGTTCAACCTAATCACAATGGTGGTTGGGCCGTGTACTGACCGAGTGATGCGCATTACGCGATGATCACGTTTTATTTGTTTCCAACTCTTCGTGCAAGTTCCCAGACGTTACACCGAAATGGACACCGTACGAATCGATTACGTAATTGTGTTTACCGAATGGTTCATTGGAAATACTGTAGATTCCACGACAAAGCCCTCAATTCACCGACACCGAACATTATGGAAGAATCGGACGCATCTCGTCGGTGACACCAACCAAATATTCAAATCTCCGGTTATGTGTGTGCACACAAGATTTTCGAAAATTCCATCACCGCTTTTCTTTATTCTTACCCGATGGAGAAGCCAAGAATGTTCTTTCCCATAAAAGGAAGTCTTTCAGGTGTTGCCATTATTTCTATAACTTAAACATTTGGAACAAAAGATGTCGGGCTTCCTTGGAGAAATGTAGGTGCCGAATGAGACATGCCGATGACGTAAGTTGAAGGATTGCGCTCCGATACGCCAAAACCAAAAAAAAAATAATTTTTTCCTTCGGCACATTACTCTTTTGCATCACATGACGATCCCATTTAACACTTTAAACACCGAAGCAGCAGGTATACAGATCAATGGATACCATGTTTGATTGTTTATATGATGTAAGAAATAAACACCCAAAAAAGTCGTGGTTCAATGAAGGGACGGGTGGATGAATGAAATTTGGTGTGACACAATTGGAATCTTAATATACTGTATTTATTATTGTGATTTTTTTGTCACGGCAACCAGTTTGTTTTTGGATTCCGAAAATAAAGGTTATTCGGTAAGATCCGCTTCGAGGATCAAAATCGTGCGAGCAACAAAATTCCCGTGAAGAGCGTAATTGCATGATTCCTTCCTTTTTCCCTCCCTCCCTCCCTCCCTCTCTCTCCCTCCCTCTCTCCCTCTCCCTCTCCCTCTCTCCCTCTCCCTCTCCCTCTCTCCCTCTCCCTCTCCCTCTCCCTCTCCCTCTCCCTCCCTCTCCCTCTCCCTCTCCCTCTCCCTCCCTCTCCCTCTCCCTCTCCCTCCCTCCCTCCCTCTCTCTCCGATTCAAGCGGATAGTCACCAGTGGTACTTTTTTGGCAGGCCACCATAATGCGGATGATCCAGTGACATGTTTAATAAAGTATATACCGTATATACGTACTCCTGTTTCAATGTATGGAACAATCGTCACAACAATAAACTGTGCGTGGATCTGAAAGGCAATTGTGAATGAATTGCTACTTTACGAAACCCCATTATCAATGCCGTCACGGAACTCACCCTAAAATAAAAATAAATAAATAAATAAATAAATAATAATAATAATAATAATAATAATAAGATGATCATCCGACACATTTCAATCCTCTCTGATTATATAAACAAATGCCAATTGATGTTTTGTGGTCAATTGTGAAAGAAAGAAAGAAAAAGAAGAAACAGCGACCTCTCAATTTATAGGTTGATTGATT